GCCTTCCGAATGCCACTCGCAGAAGTATATGTGACCATGCCACGTCGCCGCCTTCTCGTCAAATCTCCCAAGTTATTCCTGCCCCGCATTGCGCAGGGGTTGGGTACGTCTTTATTCTTATATATATATGTGTATAAATTGGACCTGGCCCTAGTACGGTCTCATCAGCGCTGGATCAAACCCTGGTATGAGTTCGACCAACGCTTGATGCAGCGATGCTAGGAGTCTATCCGAGTTGGATCGAGCCCTTTTTCGGATTCTTTTGAAATCAGATCGATCGAATTCTCGCAGGATTCCAGTACAGTTGGGTCGAGATCTAGCTACAGTCGTTTCAAAAAAAAAATCAGTTGGATCGATCCCTAGTAGAATTCTATCAGTCTTGGACCGAGCCTTACTCGGATTCTATTGTTCACGCTTCGCGTGCCCTTAGCAGCTGTTGTAGCTAATTCGCCTCGCCTGCTGGCCCAGACGACGCCTTCCGTTCCCTGTCCGTCGCCTCGGAGCCGCCGACCAAAAAAAAAATACCTTAAGCAGCCCATTCAAAAACCTTGCCCGTGAGAGCCGGCGGAGGGGACGAAGAGACTCATGCAATCAAATACAGCGGGGAGCAAGGTGATGGCCTTGGAGGGCCTTGTCGGGCCATCCCTGGGGTCCGCGAGGCGGCGAGGGAACGGTTACAAGGAGGACGAGGAGGAGGAGAAGGAGGAGGAGGAGGAGGAGGAGAACGAATACGACGACGACGACGCCGACGCCGACGCCGACGCGTACGCCTACGACGACGCTGACGACGACGACGACGACGACGACGACACCACGACGACGACACCACGACCACGACCACCACCACGACCACGTCCACGACCACGACCATGACGACGAGGAAGAGGGAGGAGGAGAAGGAAAAAAACACGATGAGGGCAATGACGAGGACGAGGGCGAGGAGGAGGAGAGGGAGGAGGAGGACAACGAAGCCCCTTGAAGCCCTCTCGGGACTCTTTTGCGGGATCTTGGGGTCCTTTTGGGTTTTTTTTGAGCGGTTTGGGGGTCCTCTTGGAGCGCTCTGGGGGGTCCCTTGGGAGCCTTTAAAGGCCTCCTGGGTCCATGTTGGAGGCCATCGATCAATAGGTGGGGCACTTTGCTCCCCCCCAAAGAGCAGCACAATCGCCTCCAGGAGCCTTCTTGTGGCCCTTCTGGGCCGCTCTTGGGCTGCTCTTGGGCTCTCTCCGGGCCGCCTGGGGGGCCTTGGAGCTGGGTCCAGTCCCAGTAGAATTCTATTAGAGCTGGGTCGAGCTCTGGGAGGATTCTGCTAGAGCTGGATCGAGCCCTAGTAGGTTTCCACCAGAGTTGGACCAAGCGGGTCGTTTTTGTAGGCGTCGGTCGTCGTTGTCCTCGGTCCTGGCCGTCGTCGTCGTCGTCGTCGTCGTCGTCGTCGTCGTCGTCGTCGACCACCGGTCGTCGCCGTCGTCGTCGTCGTCGTCGTAATCGTTGTCGTCTACCGTCGTCGTCTACCGTCATCGTCGTCGTCGTCGTCGTCCTCGTCCTCGTCAGCGCCCTTCGTTGTTGTGTTCTGTTGTCTGTCGCCCGTCGTCTGTCGTCCGTGGTCTTGGTCGTGGTCGGTGTCGTCGTCGTCGTCGTCGTCGTCGTCGTCGTCGTCGTCGTCGTCGTCGTCATACTTTGTCATCGTTGTTGCCCGTCATCGTCCTTGGCCATTGTCGTCGTCGTCGTCCATCGGTTGTCGTCGTCGTCGTCCTGCGTCGTCGTCACCGTCATTGTCCTCCGTCCTCCGTCGCCACAGTCGTCACAATCGTCGTTGTGCGTCGTTCGTCCTTCGTCTTTCGTCCTTCGTCGTCTGTCGTCTGGTGTCCTCCTTCGGCGTCCGTCGTCCGTCGTTGTCATCGTCGTCGTCGTTGTCGTTATCGTCGTCGTCATTGCCGTCGCCGCCGCCGCCCGCCGCCGCTGAAGCTGTCGCCGGCGTCGACGTCAACGTCGTCGTGGCCGCACCCCCCCGCCGGTTTTCGGCGGCGAGCGAGGGGGGGACGTGAGGGAGAAAGCCTTCTCAGAAGGTGGCGAGGCTTCTCAGAAGCCCTCGCGCCTTCTGAGAAGTTTTCGGTGTCTCACGGGAAGGCTTAGGAGACTTCTCAGAGGGCTGGGGGGCTTCCGAGCCTTCTCCTCCTCACTTCCCCGCCTCGCTCGCCGCCAAAGCTTTCAAGGCGCGCCGAATGTTCTTTTGTGGCGGGATGTCTCCCATGCAAGCGTCCTAGACACGCATTCTCGCGCAAATCTATGTGCGTATGCAAAGAGAGAGAGAGAGAGAGAGAGAAACAAAAAAGGGAGAGAGAGAGAGAGAGAGAGAAAGAGAGAGGGAGAAAAGAGAGAGAGAGAGGAAAAAAAGTCACTGCGTGGAGCTCCCCATGTTTGCATCTATTCGCATGGACCTGTCCGCCGTGAATGTCTAGGCGCAAGAGCTTTCGAATATAAACGGGCTTCAGTTGTGACGGTCTGGTAATGAATCTAACTGACAATGAATTGGAGTGTGAATGAGCCTCAGTAGTACGAGCGCGTCTCTGCGCATGAGCCTGGGTTCTCCTGGGGCCTCCTGAAACCTACTGGGGCTTCCTGGGGCCTTCAGGAGCCTCTTGGGGCCTCCTGGGGCCTCCTGGGACCTCCTAGGGAGGATTCGTGCCCCAGGAGAGACCCAATCTATAGCAACAGACGTGCAGAAAACATTGCGGATGGAGCCACAGGAGAAGGGGGCAATATATATAGGAACACACGTAACACACCAAGGACTCGTGCCCCAGGAGAGGCCCTATAGGAACATAAGTACACAGGAGAAGGCCAATATACAGAAACATACGTATAACATCAAGGATTCGTGCCCCAGGTGAGGCCCAATCTATAGGAGCATACGTAAAACACATGGGATTGGAGCCACTCCTGTTGCCTTCTGAGGCCTCCTGCTCCTGGGGTCTCTCGGGGCCTCCTGTTGCCTTCCGAGACCTCCTGGCGCTTCCTCTGGCCTCCTGGGGCGTCCTGTGGCTTCCTGAGGCCTCCTGGAGCTCTCTGGGGCCTCCTAGAGTATCTTGGGACAACCTGTGGCCTCTTGAGTATTTCTGTGGCCTCTTGATGCCTCCTGGGACCTCATGTGGTCTCCTGGGGCCTCCTGGAGCCTGTTGGAGCCTCCTCTGGCATCCTGAGGAGAATATGTGCCCACGAGTCTGGCCACCGATCGAGACATCCTCAAAAGCTTGAGACATCCCCACACAACGGCCGCGAACGGTACCGTGAGATGACCCCTGGCGGCTCCCCTTAGGGGGGTGAAAATTAGCGCCTCGCTCGAGACATCCTCCAAATCTGCTCCGAAAACAAAGGATGTTGGAACAGAAAACATGCAAACCGCTTGAGACATCCCCACAAAACGGCCGCGAACGGGACCGTGAGATAACCCCTGGCGGCTCCCCTTTGGGGGGGTGAAACTGAGCGCCTCGCTCGAGACATCCTCCAAATCTGCTCCAAAGGCGAAGGATGCTGGGACAGAAAACAGGCAAACCGCTTGAGACATCCCCACAAAACGGCCACGAACGGGACCGTGAGATAACACCTGGCGGCTCCCCTTAGGGGAGTGAAATTGATCGCCTCGCTCGAGACAACCTCCAAATCTGCTCCGAATGCGAAGGATGTTGGAGCAGAAAACAGGCAAACCGCTTGAGACATCCCCACAAAACGGCAGCGAACGGGACCGTGAGATAACCCCTGGCGGCTCCCCTTAGGGGAGTGAAACTGAGCGCCTCGCTCGAGACATCCTCCAAATCTGCTCCGAATGCGAAGGATGTTGGGGCAGAAAACTGGCGCACCGCTTGAGACATCCTACAAAACGGCCGCGAACGGGACCGTGAGATAACCTCTGGCGGCTCCCCTTAGGGGGGTGAAACTGAGCGCCTCGCTCGAGACATCCTCCAAATCTGCTCCGAATGCGAAGGATGTTGGAGCAGAAAACAAGCAGACCGCTTGAGACCTCCCCACAAACGGCAACGGCCGCGAACGGGACCGTGAGATAACCCGTGGCGGCTCCCCTTAGGGGGGTGAAACTGAGCGCCTTGCTCGAGACATCTTCCAAATCTGCTCCGAATGCGAAGGATGTTGGGGCAGAAAACAGGCAAACCGCTTGAGACATCCCCACACACGGCAACGGCCGCGAACGGGACCGTGAGATAACCCGTGGCGGCTCCACTCAGGTGGAGCTGAAACCAGCGCCCCGCCTGAGACATCCTCACAATCTGCTCTGGTAGCCAAGGATGTTGGGACAGAAAACGAGCAAACCGCTTGAGGCATCTCCACAAAACGGCCGCGAACGGGGCGTGCGTGAGTCTCACCATGAGTAAGTCTGAATAGGAGTAGGTCTGAGTATGAGTCGGTCTGAGTAAGAGTAATTTTGATGTGTGAGAAAGTCTGGGTATGTAAGACTTAGTGTGAGTCAGTCTGTGTATGACTAAGTCTAGGTATGAGGAGGAGAGGGGAGGAGAAGGAGAAGAACAAGGAGGAGGAGTAGGAGGCCTCCAAGTAAAAACAAGAATTCCATCTTAGAATATGTGGAAAAACAAAGAGAGAGAGAGAGAGAGAGAGAGAGAGAGAGAGAGAGAAAGAAAGGAAGGACACAGGGAGGTGGGGGGGGAGAGATGAGCATGAATAAGCAGGTCTCACATACCTAGACATCTCACGCAATGATTTTCCCACAGCGTGTGTCCCCAGAGGTATGGAACCCTTTGCGGAGACCGACTTTTGTCCCCAATCGAGTTTTTCACGGCCCCAGGGCCAGCAAGCGCCCGAGAAAGCCGAAAACGGCCGAGCATGTTTCGTCGTGATGTTTTTTATTTCCGCGACGTGAAGATGCTGGGATGAGCGAAATTCGGCGGTTGGGGCCCACCAGGAAGCTCCAGGAGCCCTCGATCTGGCCACTGAGTGCGCGTGCGACAGGTGCGCCCCCCTCCTTTCCGGCACAGGCTCGGCGAGCACCACTTCTCCGCGCGAACGTGCCAGGAGAAGGCGTTCTGGCTGCGGGCCATCAGCAACGTGAAGGTTCTTCCTGCTTCCTCCTCCTCCCGTCCTCATCTCCCTCTCTTCCTCCCTCCCTTCCTTCTCTGGACCAGGGATCGGCCAGCTGCAGGGTGTCAAGGGACATCTCCTGCGCTGGCCAAGGCCAAGTTGCTCGACATCCCCGTGGGGCACACTCGTCGCCGTGCCGGGAACGGCTCCTTCGACTGTCGGTGGCCCTCCTTCTGGGTTGTCGGTGGTTCGGGGAGCTGATTGACAGGGTCTTGCCAATGTGGCGACTTGTAGCCACCCTTGCGGATTCCAGGAACGTCCACAGTGTTACGGCCGTTCCTTTGGGGTTCTCATCATGTGATAGTTCCCCACAGTACGAGCAGATAGTGTCTGCCATCCTTGAACGTGTGAAGCACTCTCAAAGGCATAACTTGTGTAACATTGCCTGTCTTTGGTGTGATCACCAGCCGACCTTTATAAGACGCAACCTTGGCATACCCCTCCCGTCTCTCACTCTATTTCCTCCTCATCCTCCTCCTTCCCTCAAGCAATTTGGGCGCAAGCGGGTGATTGGGGTTCGCGGGACTTCGTTCATTCTCATGCGCGCAATCTTTGGAGCTTCCACGTAGCGCTTGAGGGATCGGGGTGAAGGGCCAAGCCACTGCCCGTGACCTACGACCAACACCGAGATTCGTTGATTTTGTAATGTCTCGCGCCATGTCCAAGCTGCGGCCACGTTGCCAGCAGTGCCGCAGGTGCGAGTGGAACGATCTCATCATCAAGAGCGGCGGCGGTTGGTCAGGCTGCGGCGCCCCCGTCACTCCCTACAAACGTCAGTCTTCAGCTGGGTCATGAACACTGGGAGGACGAGGTACGAGGTGATGAAGGTCAACCAGGAGGGAAAGGTGACCCTTACCAGCAGGGCGGCCGCCGTCGGCGCCGCCACTCCCCGAAAGGCAGACGACGTGGGACCCATGAAGCGGGGAGTGACGTGCCAATCGCACAGTTGCCTGAGCAGGCTGCCGCCTTGAAGGCTGCACCTATGGCCCAGATCGAGAGGATCAGCTTTCGGGCCAACGCGGACTCTGCGGCGACGGCCTCGTCAGCGGAGGCGTTCCGCTGATCCGACGGCACCTGGAAAGAACGCGGGACACCGCCACAACCAGTGCGTGGAGACCGTCCTCAGGCTGCGGAAGAGTCTGGAAGCGGTGGAGGCCAATGCAACCCGTGCTGCTGTGGCTCTTGCCCACGCGGCTGCGACCAAAAAGGCGGCGGCCCACACTTTAGCGAGGGCCGAGGGCGTCCACCAACAGTCCAGTGAGTCCTCCCAGGCCATGTTCACGGTGGGGTGGGACGAGGCGTTCTTCAACTCGGTCGACGACATGGACTGCACACCTAAAGAAAGGAATGTTCCTTTCCCATCTGCAGGCTCACCTCGTCGGCGTCGAGAGCGACATGGCCTGTCAGGACGTTGAGATCAAGGCGTGGTTCGAGAAGGCCAAACAGCACCATAATAACATCACCGACAGGACGCATAATAATAACAACAACAGTGGAGGTGCTGCCCCTGCCCAGGAGCAGCACCACCTTCGGCCACTGAGGGCCAGGCGGTATGAGGTGCGCTGACGGCGTTCTCAAAGCTCGACCCCGAGGCCGAGAGGCCAAGGAGAAATTGGAGGGGCAGGCCAAGAGGTTCTCGTCCGCCAAGTTCACGGCGAAAGCGGAGGAGGCGGCGGAAAAGGCCAATTTCAGGGGCAAGGGGGCGATGGCGGCCAAGGCACGGCCGCGCCAGCCTCTTGATTAGGTGTGGAGGATGACGAGCACAGTGAGAGCATCGCAAGTACTCTTATGGGGCCTGTTCTGAGATTCGCGTGCAAGACGAGTCCGAGATCAGGGAGTGGGACAAGAAAGCGAGATATGCACATCCCCGTCTACATCGCAACGCTGCTCGTCCCTCGTCCAAGCCTGTGGCGGCGGGTTGCGATGGGCGAGCTAGGGCGGGCGGGAAGTTTTTCTTCGTCCAGCAGCACCTCCAGGCCCGCGCCCTGCCTGGCAAGGGTCGCTGCAGGATGCCCACGAGAGGTGGGCCAGGTCGGCCTCGTTGGGTTTCTTTCCATGGCTATTAGTTGCGCTGGATTCTCAGTCGTAGTGGTGATGCTGCTTGCGCTGCCCAGCATGCTGATGAGGGGCCACAACAAGAGCAGGCTGCAGAGAGCCAGGGGCCTGTTCCAGGCCGCGCGCCGACCATGGCCGGTGGCGGGCGACTGCAGAGAACCGGGCATTCTCGAGCAGACGGCGCTTGCGAAGAGATTGCACGGCATTATTCGCGCAGCAGGTCCCGAGGGCACATTCGCCAACGAGTTTTGGCGCGACTCCTTGCTCGATTGCGCGGTTTCCAGCCCCGAGGCCCCGTCGTTCGTGAAAGCGCGCCCGCGCCGTCAGATCGGTTCCGTGGGGGCCCCGTCATGGGCTCGGCGATTGAGTTCCGCTGCTCTGCCCCCGGCATCCCACCCGCCCCCTCGAGGCCGCGCCCCGGCTTTCGCGGGCCCCGAGGTCTCGCGGGGGGCCCGCGGTAGGGTCGACATTCAGTCTTACTCGCGCCCGTCAGGCCGCCGTGAAAACCGAGGCCATGGCGGATTGTTTTCAGAGCCCGGGGGCCCTCGAGTCGTTCGAGGAGGGCGTCGGTCACGCCCCCCCGACGAGGTCGACGAATCTTCCGATGGTTGGCCCGGCGGTGGGGGCGGCCCGCGGGCTGATGAATTGCGATTTCGCGCTGGCGGCGCACCGGGGGGCGCGTTCGCGGGCCCGTCTCGCCCCCCCCCCCCCCGGCGCGCCGTTTGAACAGGCGTCAGCCGGCGTCTTCATCGCGAGAAGGGCCAGCGTTAGTTGGGGCGGGGCCCGGGGGCAGCAGTTAAGGGCGCAGGCGGTGGGCCAGAAGGGGCCCGTGCCGCGCTGAGACTGTTGCGCGACCCCCCCTTGGGACGTGGATTGCATGTGTGGTGTGTGTGTGTGTGTGTGTGTGTGTGTGTGTGTCAGACGCACCTGGCAGCGTTGGAACGCGTGGTTGTTCTAGAAGATCGTGCAGCGCTCTGAGAGGATTCATTGGTCCGAAAGGTACCCGTATCTGCAGGGCCAGCCAAAGGGAGATGGGCCGTCCGGGGGACTGGGCGCTTGCTACTGTGCCCGGTCAGCTTGCCCCGCGCGCGCCAGTGCAGCATCAACGCGTCAAGACGCAACGGCGCGCTCGATGGTTGGGTGTCTGATTGCAGCGACGAGCGCTGGTTTTTGTTAGGGACGTCTCGGGGCATCGTGGTGCGCGCGCGGCTCAAAGCCGCCCATATGGGGTGGCGCCTACCCCAATCGATAAAGAGGTGCATTTCTTCGCTATCCTGGCAACCAATGCGTCTGGGCCTGCCCTAAGGAACGACGTTGCAATGTCGCGCCCCCAGGGGGCCGCAGCGGCCACGTCGGGGACGGCTCTGGAGGGCATGTCATGTGCTCGAGAGCGTTTTGGGCCTGCCGCCACCTCGGCTAGGTACAGGGACCTGCCTGAAACCACCGAAATATACCCGGACCTAGCTGGGGTGGAGCTGCGGCACCCTGGATAGGTACGGGTATGTTTTTTGGTTTTCATGGGGCAACCGTACTCAGCTGGGGTGATCCGCAGACGGCCGTCCAAGGGGGGTGGCCTCTGGCGACCTCGCCCAGGGCACAGATTCGCGATGTCTCTGCATCGAGCAATTCGCGATAGGGAGGTTGTCGCGCAATGACGTTCGCGCCAGAGTTGTTCGCATGCGCCCCCGAGTGCGCGTTGACTCCTCAACGCCCGGATGTAGATTTCTGGCGGCGCGCAGCCCCGCGATGTCGGGGGCGCGACAAGGGAGTTTCGGATTGACTCGGCCCGCTCCTGGGCGTCGCGCAGGGTCTCATGTCGGGCGCTCGTTGCGCAGATGATGATTCGTCGTGCCGGAGTCTCGCCGCGGCGTATCTCTTTGCGTGGGCCAGACCTCTGGGCGACGACGTCTCGGGTGCTGTCTAAAGATCAAGCGAGGCCGTCCGTCGCCATTTGGCCAGTTGCATCGCCCCGACGACGTCGTCGTCGTCGTGCTCGTGTCCGCCACCATCGTATTCGGTCGTCGTCGCCGACCTCCAGAAGAGGCGATTCAAGGTCGCAGATCAGCCGGTCGTGGCGCGCGCGTCGCGGAGCGGCACCCGCGCCGCGGCTAGTTTGGCGCGTCGAGGAGGGCTTGTTGCGCAGCCAGTCCCGCTGGCAGCGCGTCTTAGCAATGAGCTTGGATGCAGCAGGCGCGCGCGAGCGGCCCGTGCGCAGCGGGGAAAGAAGCTCCATCCCATGTGCGTCAAGATCCGCAAGCTCAGCGGGCGTGGCCGCGGCGCGGGCGAGAGTGCCCAGGAAGGAACGCCACCGATTGTTGCCACCGATTGTTGCCGCACGAGCGTCGCGCACGATTGGCGCGGATGGGTCTCCTCAGGGCATCGTTGGACTGCCGGGCCAAAGGAAACATCTGACGCGCGAAAGGATAAAAGGGGCGGGGGCCCTGAGCCCCCTCCCCCCACCCCTCTCTGCCTCCTGCTGCTGCTGCTGTCTCCGCTCTCCTCTCCAGGCGCTGCCTGCCTGATTGCAAGGGGCGGTGCGCCAGGTGCTACGGGTCGGCTTCCAAACCCACCGTGAATGAGCGGCATGATTCTGAGTGCGAGCCGCGGGTGAATGTCACTGGTGTGATTCCTTCCCCTGCTAGCGGAGGGCGGATCCATGTAAGGGGTGGCTGGCTGCGTCCCGCTTACCTCCTCAACGCGCATGCCTTGTCTGAAGTGTTGGTCATGTTGGCGGTGCGGGGCGGTGGCCGACAAGCAACTACGAGCACTCGCTAGGCCGCTAGGCCACGTCTGTGTATCATGCCCCACGCCGGTTCTGCGCAAGATAACGAAGCACCAGCGAGGCCGCGGTTAATTCAGCATCGGTGCTGGCATCGCCACTGATTCCCACTCCTACTCCTACTCCTCCCCGTCCTCTTTTCCTTTCCTTCCTCCTCCTCCTCCTTTTCCTGCTCCTCCTCCTCCTCCTCCTCCTCTTCCTCTTCCTCCCCCTGCTTCCCTTCCTCCCTCCTCCTCCTCCTGCTCGCCCGTCTTTTTCCCCTCCTCCCCCTCCTCCGCCCTTTGTTTTCCTCCTCTTCCTCCTCCTGCTGTCCAGCATGATTCGGCTAGTCGCATGCGGCGGTTGTTGGCCAGAGGTGCGCAAGCACTCTGCTAAGATTGCTCATGATCCTTTGTCACCCCCTTTTGGAGTTGCTCATGCCACCCCACCTCTTCTTGTGAGCACACTTCCAAGAGCAATGAGCTTCGCCAGCAGGCCCTTGACGGCATCAGTCAACTGCCTATTTTTTGGTGCCGTGGTCTCATTCCCAAGGATTGGTTATGCCTTCCCGGAGTTCCGGAGGATCGGGTGTTGGAGTTATGCCGTTGTTGTGATGGCCCTCTTCCGGGAGGAATTTACGGCGCCGATGGCGCTGGAGGGCCCCATGCCACCGACCCCATCCTGCGCCGGGTGTTTTTTGGCTTCGCGCGCTTAACGCATTGTTGCTGATCTTGATTGGGATTGTGGGGCGCACGGGATGCTGGACAGTCAACGTCAGACAGTTCCGCGCGCTGAGTTGGTTGCCGTTGTGGAGGTGGTGCGTCGCGTGGCACGAGATCAGGACTTGACGGTGGTCACCGACCGCACCAATCACCTGAAAGCCATTCGGAAGGGACGTCATCACACCCTTAGGTTGCAGAATGCTGATCTGTGGTGGGAGCTCTGGCAGCTGCTCGAATTGCGGTCTGGCATGGTTAATTTAGTTTACACACCCAGCCATTGTGCCGATGATGAGGCGAAGCTTACTCGGCTTGCAGCTTCTTTGGTGCCGCATCATCTTTTCATCAATGCGATCGCGGATGCTCTGGCCACGACGCGGGCGGCGAGCGCCCAGATCCCAGCCGATGTTGTTCGTGAAGTTGTTGATTTTGAAAATCTGGCTTGCCGCATCTTGCGACGTAATGCTTCCATCATATTGGAACGAGCCAGGGCCCCCAATAATCCAGAGCGCATAGTGCATCGTGCCCGGCTTTCGCGAGTGGTCCGCCGGCGGCATGTTGTGATTGCACTTCTTGAGGCGTCAAGCCATGGTTTCGAGCCAGTAGCCAAGGACATGGAGGTGCACAGCGTGCAGCAAACTGTTGCAACCGCCGCTCGCATGTTTTCCGAACGGTTCGTTCGAAGTGTGCAGCCCTTGTGCACACTGCGCCTCCCACGCCTGAGCGTCCACGGCGGGCTAGAGGGCGGCGAGCGGGGGGCTCGCAGGTCGGCAAAGCACCAATCGATGATGACCTTTGGTGTAGGCTTGGAATGATCGACCCCCCTCGACGTTTGCCTGCCCCTGCCTGCGTCCACGGGCACAGGGTGCATGACAGCCACGCTGCCTGGAGTAAAGGTCGCTTCACTTTCTGTGGCTTGTGCGGATGCTGGGCGGAATCTAAGCCTCGCGACTTGCGCATGGAGTGCCGAGTCGCCTCGAATGGCCTGGCGGCCCTCACGGCATATAACTGTGAGGCGCTGGGGAGGCTCTGGCAAGGCACCCCCCCTAAGAAAAAGTGTCTTGATTGGAGGAGCGCCGTCGATACGCTCATCGATTTAGGATTAACAATTTTCACCTGCTTGGCAATCTCTTCGGAAGCTTGACGGGCAGCGGTCTACAGCAACAAAAAATCCTCCTGCTCCTCCTCCTCCTCCTCCTCCTCCTCCTCCTCCTCCTCCTCCTCCCCCATGCCGTCCTTCACGGTTCTCCGTGATGAGAAAGGATTCGATATTCACTTGACCCAGGTCTCGCCCGCGATGGTCAGATCGCTGCTTGGGAGAGCGGTGCGTCGTACCCTCGAGTGGGATCTGGGAGCTAGGCACAATCTCGGTAGGGTTTGCACTGATGGGATCCTCAGTCTCCTCACCTCTCGGAAGTTTACGGCTTTCGAAAAAGGTTGTGTCCGCTCTCTCTTCTGCAATGCCACCTACACCAGGACCAAGGCCAGATCCCTGGGATATATTATTGATACCACCTGTTCTCTTTGTGGAGACGGGGACGACACGATTCGTCACCGTCTCTGGCGCTGCTCTGCCTGTGAGGAACTCAGGACGGAGCTGATTCCAGCTAAGGTGCGGGAGTGGGCAGGCCAAGCGGACGACACCCTGGCTTGCTACGGCCTCTTCCCCCACCCAGCTGAGGCCTTCCCCCAGCCGTCGTTCGAGGAGGGGGTCGTCACGGAGCTTTGTGAGGGGTACGAGCATTTGGTTTTCGAACAGGACTTCGCTGGTCAGATTTTTGTTGACGGTTCCTGCCTACGACACCCAGTGGGCGAGCTTTCACGTGCTGGATGGGCCGTCTCGTTGCTCGACCCTTCCAACATGCAGGAGATGATCAGGATTCGGGGCCCTGTGTGGCCACCTTGCCCCCAGACCCCCCAGAGTGCCGAATACCACGTTTTTTGTGCTGCTGCTAGGTTTGTTGCCAACCCATCTACCATACATTCTGATTGCCAGAATGTTGTGGATTATGCTAGTTTAGATTGGACAAAACAGACCAGCCACAAACGCCTGTACTCGGGGTGTGCCCAGTTCGTGCGTGAGAATTTACCAGTCATCACTACGAGCAAGGTGAAGGCTCATCAAAATGTTGACGAAGCGGCCGACGACCGAGACCGCTTCCTCCGTATTGGTAATAATTATGTGGATGCCGCAGCCAAGGTCGCCGCGGCTTCCCACCCGCAGCCCAGCAGGGAGCAGGTGGAGGAGTTTGATCGGCAATATGCAGTCGCGCGAGCTGTGGGAGTGTTGGCTGCAAAGCACCTCCCGCTATGGCCGCCTCTCGAGATTGGTCCTGGTGTCGTCCGTGAGGTCGTGTGTCGTGAGAGCGGTGCTGGCCTTGGGACAACTGCAGCCACCCCACACGCCTGGCAGCAGATAGGAGCTTTCTGGAGATGCGCTGTGTGCTTGGCTGCCTCTCGCGGGGTTCGGGCCCCGCCGCAGGAACATGGGATTGGAGGTTGGTTTTGGCCTCCTCTGCCTGGCGTTTGCCCTCAACGCAGTAGACTTGATCCTGCGCTGCTTGCAGAGAAAGGGCATCGGCGCATTTCTCTCGAGTGCTCCGATTCGACCCGCCTTATCGTTTGCCTGAGGTGCAAGGCCATCAGCGGGCAGCGAGCCCTGAATTTGTCTCGTCAGTGCGCCGAGCACCCCAACAGTGCGGGTGCTCGGCATTGTTGGCAGAGAATATGCCGTGGCCTTCATCCGAAGAATGACAGAGTCACGGTAGAGCGAGGACCCTGGTCGGATCTTTAAGCGACCAGGGGCTGGCGGCCTGTCCCTCCATGCCGCCAGAGCGTCGCTGCAGAGGTGGAAGGGCCTGTTGCGGGCAAAAAATTCCTCCTCCTCCTCCCCCCCTTCCTTCTCCCCCTCCCTTCCCCCCCCCCTCCTCACCGTCCTCCTCCCCCGCCCGCCCTCTGGCCCGAGGGCGGAGGCACGGACGGAGGAGGCGCGGAAGCCGGCGCGCGGCAGGTCAAGCTGCGGCACGGGGCAGAAGCGCCGACGCCGGCGGACTTGAGGCCGGCGGGGGCTCCGACCAGCGCTCCGCCCTCGCCCCCTCGGCCCCCCCTCCTTCTTCAGAGCGTGAATTACCTACCCCGCTTTCGCTTCCAGGCAAAACCAAGTCATACCACGCGCCTCCTCGTCAAGCGGCCTGACCAGTACAGGCCGTAGTTTGGCATCGTTTGGTATCTCTTGGAAGCGAGGGTGGTCAAAATCGAGGTAGGGTTGTTTTCCCCCTACTTCTGCTCGCTGCCAGACACCCTCGAGATATGAAACAATCCCAACTGGAAGCTTTGCTCGATGCTCGGCATCCGGTGGCCCTTGCCGGCCCTCGGGACCGGCAAGATTCAGGAGGGAATGAAACACACATACACAATTAATCGTCCATTCCCCAGAAAATATGGGAAAGTATGGGAAGAAGGGGGGAAAACAAAAACCCAGAAAATATGGGAAAATATGGGGAGTCTTTTTATTTGTGTGTATTTATTTGTGTGTCCCAGGGCCCCTTCAAAGATGCGCGTCAGGAGGAAAAACGGGTCGCAGGGAGTGGATCGAGACTTGCGGGGTCGATGTCATTAAAAAAAGCATGACGTCGGGGGTCTTGGGCTCCTCGTCCCCTTCTCGTCGTCCACGGACTGAACTTGGACGAGGATGAATCCGTGCCAGAGCGTTCTGGAACGCTCCCAGAGCGTTCCGGAATGCTCTGAGAGGGCTGCGGCGCCCGAGACATTTTCTAGAGCCGCCGGATCTCAGAGATTCTCGATATGTCGTCACCCGATGTTATCCTCGTCTTGGCTTCGTGTTCTTTGAACCAATCATGACGTCGGGGGTCAGGGCTCTTCGTCCTCTTCTCGTCATCCTCCTCCTGCTCCTGCTCCTCCTCCTGTCCCCCTTCTCTTGCTCCTCCTCCTCCTCCTCCTCCTCCTCATGCTCCTTTCCCTTTTGCTGCTCTTCCTGCTGACTCCCTCCTCCCATGCCAGCGGCATTTTGCCATGGCTACGGCCCTCAACCAGCAGAGGTGGGCCAGCACGGCAAGCGACAGCAGCTACCAGGGTATTGTGTTCTTCTCGTCGTCCTCCTGCTCCTCCCCCTCCTGCTCGCCGCAGTCGGCTTTTTTCAAAGGCGCAGACGATGAAGGTTATCTCCAGGTTGGCCAACCACCTCATGGGCGTCAGGGCATACGTGCAGACGTCGCTGAACGAGTTGTACCTGTACCTGTTTGAGCTGATGTGCCCGCTTGAGCCGCAGCACTACAAGAAGTTTGTTATTTTTTTTCTGGATGCGCAGGCCTACATCGGTAAGATCAGGCGCTCCTGTCTCCTTTCCTGCCTGGATCAGCCTACGAGAGATTCGTTAGGTGGTGGCAGTGGCACTCTAAGTAGGGACGACTTCGTTGACGTGGCCAGCAAGTTGGTGGAGTGTTTCCGTAAGCGGTTTGCTAAGTTGGTGGCGTTGAAGCAGCAGGCTTGTGTTAAGTTCGCGAGGGTTAGTTTCCAGAGAGGGGCCATCCGAGCGCACTGAGCCATGGCAGCTGCAGGCGTTCTTACCTCCTTGGGAGGACAGGTCGACCACTGCATCGTTTTGGAAAGCTTGTGATCTTGAGATGGCGCCCTGGGCAAAGATATGGAGGTGTCATCAATTGGAACGGCTTGGGCTTCAGCAGATGCGCGCTGTTGGCCCAAGCTGCCCGAGATGACGATCGACATGATCAAGAATGCCGTGGCCTCCTTCTGGGCCAAGAAGAGGACGGGTCCTGGACGTATTGGGGTTCGCGCGCTCCTTTTGCTTTCTAATCTGGTTTTATATGTTTTGGCTGCTTTGTTTACGTGCTGCGAGGACTGGTTCACGTGGCCCGAAGCATGGATTGGGCCCGAGATGGTGTGGCTGCCGAAGCCCAGTGGCGGCAGCCGTTTCATCACCTTGGTGAGTTCCCTGATCAGAGTGTTGTCGCGCATGCGTGTTGCAGTTTCGAAAGGTTGGATTCGAAGACATCCGAGTGCTGATATTTGGGGGAACGGGTCTGGCCGTACATCCGCGGACTCTGCTTTCCACAACCTGGAGACAGACAGCGGAGGCGGCCAATTTACACACACTCACGGCGATGATGGACGCATACAAATTCTACGAGACGATCCAGCCGCAGGCCCTGCTCAACGAGGCGCGTGTCATTGACATGGATTTGCGGCTTGCGTGGGTGCTGCTCGAGCTGTACCGGCAGCCGCGTCGGTTGAGATCCTTTGGCTTGGTCAGTGAGTCTATCATCGCTGTCCAAGGCATTCGGGCTGGATGCTGTCATGCAGTTCTGTTGGTGTCGGTTTTGCTGCACAGGCTGCTCGATGCGGCCCGATCGCCGCCCATCATCTCGAGGGCGCTGGCTGACGACATAAGCATGTAGTGGATCGGCGAGTCCCTGGACCAGCTCAGGTGTTTGTGGACCGCGGTCAAGTGGTTCCGCGAGGGTGCCGAGGAGCTCACTCAGGTGAATAAGTCGGGCAGCATTCCGTCCAGTGCCAACGTGGCGTCGTCCCGTAGAAAGTGCGGCGGTGCCAAGTGGCTTTCGTAGATATTGAATTCGCAATCTCGGCCATGATCTTTGTGGCAGGCGGAAGTCGAGGAAGCTCGCCTCCCAGAGGAATGCTGGCGTGCTCGCAAGGCGCCGAAGGCCAAAGATGTTCCAGAAGGCTGCTGGCAGTAAGGCCACTTGCTTATGGAAGTCGGGGCTCTTGCCTAGTGCTGGTCATGGCGCTGGTGTTGCTGGGCTTAGCGAACGCCATCTCGGCCTTGTCCTTGCTGAGGCTGGCCGATTGGTGGGATCGAGGACTGGCGCGTCGAGCCTCACTTTTTACCTGGCCACCCGTCGCGCGAAGGTGTTCGACCCGATCTACATGACTACGCGCGATCTGGGCTGCTGATATACGGCTTGGGTGCGGGGACAAAGGACGTCGTTCAGGAGGCTTCAGCGCGCCTAGGCAGCTACCAAGATGGTGGGCGGAGGCAAGACTACTTGGAGGTGGGCGCGTGGGTCTATCTTTTCGACGATGCTCGCACTGCGGCGGATTGACTGGTGCGCGCGCTCGCCCGCTGCCCTCGTCAACGACAGGGATGAGAAGTTCAACCTTATGGTGGCGTCCTCTCCAGGTTCGAGCGACCGCGCGGCGACGGCGCGCAGCTGTGGGTGGGCACGTTGCGGCGATGCGCCGGCGCTGCCGAGGCTGCTGTCGGCGAAAGGCCCCGGGCAGCCGGCCCGAGGGCCCGCCGGGCAGGTGCGCCGCGGGCGCGCCAGGCCACGTGCGATTACATTTTGGTGCGTTCGCCAGCTTGTGTCGCCCGCGGTCACGCGAGCGACGCCGAGGAGGCGGGCGACGCCCCCCCCCCCGAGAAGGTTTTCGGCCGCCCACGCGTGCGTGAAGGGCAGGGGCGCGCAGCAGATCGCGGGCCACTCGCGGGGCGCGTTCGGGCCGGGGGTCTGCCCGCCGCGCGCGCTTCCGACGCCCCCCACGGTGAACTTCGACTTGCCCGCGTGTTCTGGGGCGATAGGAGGGCGCCCGCGGCTTCCTCCGGCGGCGCCGTCTTCGCGGGCGGCCCAGGTCTGGCCGCGTTCATCCCGAGCTCAGGTCTGGGCGCCCGGGATGGGCGCGGAAAGGCCGGGCGCAATGCCCAACGGCAGTTCTTGTTCATTTTGGACGGGACTCGCTGTCCGCGCCGCCGCGGCCTGCGTCCATTCGAGACAGAAGGCCGCCTGCTCAACAGCGGCCGCTGTTGGTCTGGGACAACATTTGTTGTTGGGTATTGCACCCATTCTTCCCGTGCCCATTTCGGGCGTCCGAGTCAGGAGATGCGGCGGGGCTGCGGTGCCGTTCTCGCAGCGGCCCCCCCCGACTAGGGCGGCTTGCGGGCCGCTTCCATCTACTGACGGACGGCGCCGAGACCCTTCGGCCCCAACCTGCAGTGCGCGGTCAGGGGCCTGCTGGCGCAGGGATCGGAGGCTGCTTCTTGGGGGCTCGAGCTGGAGTCGGCGGCGGCGGCGCGCGCTGCGGCTTCGAAGGAGTCTCAGGGCGCAAGAGGCTCGGCCACTCGTTGTCTGGGCCCCCGCCCGCCAGAGCATTGATGCGCGCTGTGACCGTTCGGCGCCCAAGATCTACGGGGATACCTACAAGTTGAGCTGCAGTTCGCCGAGCAGGCGGCGGCCTGCGTCGGCCGGGCGAGGCAGCGTGCTCTTAGGATTGGCAAGCGGGAGCCCGAGGTCCTTGGCGCGCGGCAGAAGACGGGCTTGCATCGGATATGGCCTGTGCAGGTGACCGCCCGCGTTGTCGTGGAGTTTAGGGGATGGTTCCTATGCGCGTCGTGGGAGCGCGAAGCGTGCCTCGTGTAGTTCGAAGGCGGCCTGGAGTTTTTTTTGCTTTCTCAGGGCGCCGTGCCAACCGGCGAGATTGGGTGCCCTCCGCGCGGAGGCGCTGATCGATTTTGGCCGCGGCGTGGCTTTCCAAGTCTCCGAAGTCGGTACGTTTGCCACGGGGGTTTTAGACGCTGCCGCTGTTCTCGATGGCCCAGGGGAAGTCGGTGATATGTCGGTCTCAGAGTGGGCTGGCGCGGTAGTCGTACCTTGCAACGGTCACCGGCTGCAGCGAACTGGTCCCGCCGTCTTCTGTGAAGCGTGCGTGGTTTGGTTTGGTGGCGGTGTGTCCAAGCAACTGATTGCACAATGCGGCGGGGTTCCGAATGGCGAGGGCAAGGGTGATACCTTTCTCTCCAATAACAGCTCGAGGCGCCAGAGGCTACTCAAGGGTATGCACCCGAAAGGGAACGTCTCGCTGACCTTGCCTGCAATCCTTGGTGGTGGCGTTGGCCTTATCGTCACGACTGCTAATTCGTCGACTGATCCTTGATAATCGAGAAGTTTGTGAGCACTGATTCGCCCTTGTGCCGTCATCGCGTCGTGGTCCACGGCGGCGGCATCGAAGAGGTTTATTGCCTTCTGGCCCCTCGTGGGGACGGGATTGGCGCGCCCTACTTTGCCCAGCCAGGTGGTGGGGTCAAAGTCGCGGGTGATCTGTGCTACGCTGACAACCCGTTTGGCCCCTCATGGGGGCGGGCTCATGGCGCTGCTCGTGGCGTACTCTTTCATCGACCTCCTCTGAGGTCCTCGGCCGCCTGGCCATTCCCGCCGCCTGGCCGCCTCGACGGACTGTTGCGCCAGGCCTCGTCCGTCGTCCCTCCTCCTCGTCCTCTTCCTCCTCATCATTATCCTCCTCCTCTCCCTCCTCCTGTTTCTCCTGTCTCTCTCGCTCTCTCCCCCCTCTCTCTTATTCTCTCTCTCTCTCTTTCTCTCTCTCTTTCTCTCTCTCTCTCTCTCCCTCTCTCTATACACCCGCACGCATCCTCTCCAATCGCGGGCAGCCTCGCGGCCTGTGCTGCTCTTGTCCTCCACCGAGAGGCGCGTCGAGCCACGCGCAGAGGAGGCGGTGGGGGCATGGGGGAGGACGGACTTTTTGGAGGCACCCGTGCTTCCAAGAAGTTTTCCCCCTCCCTTCACTCCCATGTGCGCGCCGCCAACCAAATCACGCACGATGGGAGCTCCGGACCCCAGAGATCCGATGTCCGTTTTTTTTCAATGCGGGGTCCCGGGGAGTTTCGAGCCACTCTTGGGGACCAGCTTTTCATCCCGAGTATCGTGTTTTGAATGTCCCTGGGCCCGGCGAGGGCCTTCTAGAGGCAGAGACCGGAGATCACAAAAGACGTCTTGCATTTTTCCATATGATGGACCTCTGGGACCCCATCATCGCAGAAATCTGCGTGCTGAACAAAACAAGGCGGATGTTTTAGACTATTTTCGATCTCTGGGGGCCCTCGACGGTCAAACAACGATTCACGATGAAAAATTGGTCCCTGGGATGGGGTCGAGACTTCCGGTGACCCCGTAATGAAAAATCACGGCGCTGGAACCTCGAGGTTTCTGGCGTATTTGTCCAGCCAGATCGACCTGCGATGGTCCCACGTGCCGTCCACCAAAGCGACCCATGAGGACAAGCCAACCCCAGGGGGGACTGGCCGAGAAGTCTTGGTAGTTCCGCGCGCCGCGAAATATCGAGTTGCCGCACATCTCGGTCCTCTTCCAGCCACGCGCAGAGGAGGGTCGGGGGCAGGGGGAGGGCTTCTGAGAAGCACCCCTGCTTCTTAGGAGGCGCGGGCCTCATTTGTAGATGCAGGCCTCGCGCCTTCTAGCAAGCAGCCTCTTTGGAAAACCCTTCACGAAAGAGCCTTTGCGCGCGCCGACGCCGCGCGAGCCTTCCCCAGGAGGGCGGAGAGTTCGGGCCGGCCGGCCCCTGCTCGAGGGGAGCCCCCCGCGGGCGGCCGGAGGAACTTCCGGCAGGCCGTGCTGGAGCAGTCGCGGCAGCTCCTGCCGCCCAGCGGCGACACGCCCGGGGGTCCCTCCGCTGCTGGGGTGGGGGAGCCGACTGCGTGCGCGTACAAGAGTGACCCTTCGCCAGAGCGACCTTTGGTGCGGTCCCATGGGGGCCCCCGACTGCCTGACGCGATGCGGCTGTAAGGTCTTGTGCGCTTGAGTCTTCAGGAGGGAAAGGAACACACAGACACAGTTGATCGTCGATTCCCCAGAAAATGTGGGGCAATATGGGCAGTGGGGGGGAAGACAAAAGCTCAGAAAATATTGGAAAATATGGGGAATCCTTTTATTTGTGTGTATTTATTTGTGTGTCCCAGGGCCCCTACAAGTTTGGCCCCCCAGGGGCCCCCACAAGCCGCGCACCAAAGGTCACTGTTACCCAGGGTCGCTCTTGCGGTGTGGCCGAGGGAGGGCTTGGAGTGGGCGGAAGGACGAGGGGGACGACAACGGCGACGAGCGGGAGGGGACAAGGAAGGGGGCAGGAGGAGGAGGATGAGGAAGAGGAGGAGGAGGAGGAGGAGGAGGAGGAGGAGGAGGAGGAGGAGGAGCAGGGGGAGGTGTGTGTTCGACGAGGGGCACGGCAGAAGCGTGCTCCGAGGAGGCGGTGGAGGAGGAGGACGAGGAGGAGGCGGCGCGCCCAGCGGCCCCCCTGCCGCTGGGGTGGGGCAGGGTTGGAGCTCGATCGGGAGGGTTGGAACCTTCGGTGTTTGTGCTTTCTTTCTTCCCGCGTCATCGCCCGGCCCCCCTGGCCCCTGCTTCCGCCCTGTGCCGCGTGTTGCGTGTGCGCTGCATGCTGCCTCTGTGCTTTGTGTGCTCCTCCCCGCAGCTGTTTGTCTGCGCCGGCGCAGTGCAGCGTTCTCCAAGAAGCAGCGTAGGCTGGGGCCGCACCTTTGCCATGGCAGCAGGTGGTCCGGGCCCGTACGTTCGCGGACGGGCTCCCAGAAGGTGTCCGACCCCACCTCTTTCGACCACGTCTGGGAGGTCTCAGAGGGCACAGCGGTCTTCGGGCGCTGTCGTTATCTCGTTGCGCTTTTTCAGCCTCGTGGTCCTCTACAGCAGCTGCGCCTTCCCGTCATCGTCGAGCCAGTCGGACCTGCCAGAACCTTGCGTGTACCTGTGGGTTCCTGGAACAGGGTTGCTGAGGGTTGGGATTTGCCTGTATCAACAGACGGACTTGGCTCATCCCCCTTCTAAGCACGCCCTGTAATACACGCCTGGTTGTGTCTGTCGTTCCTCCTGGTGTCGGTGCTACCCAGTTGGAGTCTGCTGTGCTGGTGCCAGGAGGAGGAGGAGGAGGAGGAGGAGGAGGAGGAGGATTGCAGTGTAGTGCTAATGCCCTTCAGGGTAGGCATAGCCCTGTGAATATGCTCGTGAAGGTTGGGGCGAGAACCTTCTGGTCCCAGAACCAGTGCAGGGCCTGTTGTTGGCACGTGGTGTTGGTCGATGGCTGGCGTGGTCAGCATGCCCCGAGACAGCCGCCTCCGTTCGACAAATTAGGTTTTGCGGGGGGGGGGCGCGGGGCTGTGGAATATCATGCCCCCGTTCCTGACGCTTCTTCTCAGGATGGGCTGTGAAATATTATGCCCCTCTCCCCCGGAGTGCGGCGGTATAGATCGCCGACCAGCTTTCCCGAGGTGTTTACCAGCACGGACAGCCTTGCACCCCGCGAGACTGGCCACCAGCTGCAAGGCGCGATACTGGCCTCCAGTGGGCCCAGACAGTTTCAGTTTCTGAACAGACCGCCCCCCGAGGCGCAAATGTTCAGAAATTGTCCGAGGCTGCCGCGCGTTCCCCCCCAGTGCAGTGAGCTCCTTCTCTGGGCCACGCTGGCGGTCGTGGACGGCCGGTGACCTCAGAAGGCCGCTTGTGGCCCAATGTCACCAAGGGCCAGCCAGGCCTGGAAAGGTGTGCAGGAATGCCGGTATTGCCGCTGGGCTGTGTCCTGCAGGGCGCCAACTCCAGCGCCGTTGCCGGGCTGTGCCCTGACTTGTCTTGTAGGGGGAGAGTCGGGCCGGACGAAAGGGGGGGAATCGGGAAAGGGGGGTTACGAAACCTGCTGCATGCAGCTGGTTTCGGCCCCACCGAGGGGCCCACTCCTCGATACATGGGCGCCTCGGGCGCCGGGAGGCGCCGGGAAAATCGGCGACGTGAGCTGACTCGCAAACCCCCCCTTTGCTATCCCCCCCTTTCGCCCGACCCGAGGGAGGTGTGCAGGACTGCCGGCAGTGCCGCTGGGGCTGTGCCCTGGAGGTCGATGCCTCCGACCAGGCGCGCAGGCCCGACATCTCTCAGTGAGCCGGAGGGCGGAAAGCCACCGACGTCTCCAGTGGGAACTCCCCCCCGAGATGTCGCCAGCCTCTGCGCGCAGTCCTCGTGCGGGCATTCTCGGGACCGCCAGCATTGCCGCCGGGCTGTGTGCTGGAGGCCAGTCAGGAGGGGAGAAAACACACAGACACAATTCATCGTCGATTCCCCAGGAGATATGGGGAAAATATGGGGAGTGGGGGTGAAGACAAAAACCCAGAAAATCTGAGGTGAGGGGGTGAGATCGAAGTGGACCGGATAGCCCCCCTACCGGGAAATCGGTTTCGGTTTCGTGTTCGTGCGTGCCGTGCGTGCGGGCGAGGCGAAGCTGCGTGGGCGGGCGAGAAGAATGTCTCCTCCGGCTGAGGCGCGGCCGGACCAAATGACTCCTTTCCGGGGGCCCGTGGCCCGCGGTGTTCCGCCGGTGTCCCGCCTCCGGCTGAGGCGCGGCCAGACCAAATGATTCCTTTCCGGGGGCCGGCGGCCCGCGGTGTCCCGCCGGTGTCCTGCCGGTGTCCCGTCGGTGTCCCGATGATGATGATGATGATGATGATGATGATGATGATGATGATGATGATGATGATGATGATGATGATGATGATGATGATGATGATGATGATGATGATGATGATGATGATGATGATGATGATGATGATGATGATGATGATGATGATGATGATGATGATGATGATGATGATGATGATGATGATGAGATGATGATGATGATGATGATGATGATGACGATGATGATGATGATGATGATGACGACGACGACGACGACGATGATGATGATGATGATGATGATGATGATGATGATGATGATGATGATGATGAGATGATGATGATGATGATGATGATGACGACGACGATGATGATGATGATGATGATGATGATGATGATGATGATGATGATGATGGTGATGGTGATGGTGATGGTGGTGATGGTGATGGTGATGGTGATGGTGATGGTGATGGTGATGGTGATGGTGATGGTGATGGTGATGGTGATGGTGGTGATGGTGATGGTGATGATGGTGATGGTGATGGTGATGATGGTGATGGTGATGGTGATGGTGATGCCCTGCGCTTTGAATCGGTTAGTCTAGGCTCGCTGGGCCTGCTCAACCATGAGAGAGGAAAACATGACGGGGCTCCCCCTTCGTTTGGACTCTGAAACGGAGTCCGCAGTGACTGGAACCGAGACGGAGGCGGGAGCCTCTTGCCTCGGGCACGGGACGATGCACTGTCTAAATAGTTGCCAAGCTGGATGGAACGAGAGGCTACCCAAGCTCGAAACCAAATCCAAAAGGATCAAAGTCGGCCCCTTCGTCGAGCTCGACCTCGACCCCCATCGCCTCCTCCCAGTCGGGAGGGGAGGGGGAGGAGGAGGAGGCGGGAGAGGAGCGGAGGTAGGAGGAGCGAGACGAGCGAGCTGGGCAGCCGAGAACCCCGCCGACCGATGGGGGAGGGGTCTCGTCACAGCTCGCTTCTCTAAGATTCGAACAATCGATCGATGCATGAAAGTGGTCAGTGTAAATCGGTCCCTGGCTTTCTGAATTACAGAGGTCGGGAGGGGGTGTGACTCGGCGGCAAGTGTGGCAAGCGCATCAACTTTTTTATTCAACTCCTCGGCGAGCGGATGCACCGCCCCACGGTCTACACCGTCCTCGCCCTGGTGCGGGTACACGTGCTCGCAGTAGAAATCTCGGGCTTGGTGTCGATCGCAATCTTGATCTGGGCCCAGATGTCGTGCCAGCTTCCTCCTGGCGGCTCTCCTCCGTCAAGTAGGTTATTGAATTCTCGAACACATTGTTGATTGTCGCAGTAGATCCACACAGGCTCCTCTGCCACACGTACAACGTGAAGGAGTGCTCTGGTTTCAGCACGTGCACTACTTTGCCGTGGTCTCGCCACTTTTGGGTTCTCGCGCTGCCAGAACGCCACTCCCAGGCCACATTTTGAATGCCCGGACCCAAGGGTAGGCCACTTGGTGTTTTTCGCGGCGTGCAGAGCTTCGACGAGTAGTTAAGGCGGTGGTGTGGCGCCACATATACAGCGTATCCCGCTCGAGCGAGCCACTGATGTTGTGGGGACGGCAGGCGCCATCCGTAGCAATGGCCATCCACCGCTTGTTCTCGTCGTCGGTGATGTAGTTGACCATGTCCTCAGCAGGATCGTCATCCACTTGCTGTGGGGGTCGATGTTGTGCGGGCTCAGGTAGAGCCGCGAGTTCGTTGTAGAGCTTGACCGTCTCCTCGTCGATGAAAGTGGGACCGCAGTGACGTGTTGACGGCGGCCACTGATCACGTTCATGGACTTGTGGATGTTGAAGTAGTGGTGCGCGTTCTTCTTGCCAGCACGGACATTCCCACAGGATATGTTATTGCGTTTCTTGTTCTCTGCCACAGAACCTGCACACCGCAGAGGGGTCTTCTGAAATGGAAGATATCTGCAATATTTGCTGTGTGTGGTCGCCGCCAGCTAGAACTACAGACAGTAGGCCACGTTGCCATTTAGTAAGTCGGTGCCTGAGACTGCGTGTGCGCAGTAGCCAAGAATGTGAAACCATGTCGATGCCATACTTGTGCTTAGCCACGTCCCCGAGGTCATTTCGTTTAGTGGGCACCTTGCGTTGGAACCACCGTCGTTGTGAGTCTCGGAGATGGTGCATAAGAAAATCACAGTGCCCTTCGAGCCACAAGATGGGAGTGCCCAGGTC